GTTCATAATCACAGAGGTTTTTCGAAACTAGTCACGATCACGTCACGGTCACGGAAATTTTGGATTACTAACTGGATTTTTGTGCTACAAAATCAAGATTCATATTGATTTCGCAAATTTCCTCTGTAATAAAACGCAGAAAACACGTAAATCAATTAAAATCTTGATTTTTTTCACAAAAATTAGATTTTTAATCTCAAAATTTTTCACCATTAAGTCACGATCACGAGCTATTTGGTCACGGTCACGATCCCAGTCACGACAATTTTTCGAAAACTAGTCACGGTCACGGTCACGAGAGGTCGTGACCGTGACCGTGACCATTTTGCAGAAGTCTAGCGAAGACGTATTGGTCGCTTGGAAATCTCCTATCTGTCATTACAACGGTGAAGATATATTTTAAAAGAGAGAGAAAATCGAAATTTCGTTATGCTGTTTTTGAATTGAAATGCCGAAAACGTTTTATTCAGTGCAACTCATACATGTTGTATCTTACGTTTATTGGATAAATAATGATGAAGTTTATTTATAAATGGATTTGTTAGTTTTGTATGTATCAGATGATGTAATAATGCTTTAAGCTTGAATGATTCACCAAAAACTAATATAAGAAAAATATCATGCTTGAAGCAATTCATTAGGGACAATAAATAATAAACGAACATAACCAACCATCAATGCAGAAGTACATACATATATATCCACTACCTTATGTTGTGCATGAATTTCGCTATGAGCTTCACAACAAAAATTTAAATGCATCTTTTTAGTTATGAAGCTATTGAGAAAGTTAAATGTTGCCAGTGAAAAATCTTTTGCTTTAGAAAAAAAAGTGTTATTGACCATTGTGCCAACTTCTAAGGATTTGTTTACTGTATTTTTCCATGAATCATGTGCTTTCCAACGATTGTTTCCTTTTGTTCTCAGGGTATTATGTATTTCTTTCTCATTCTACACGCACGAAATACTTGACATAAATTTATTTACTAACGATATATAGGACTAAAATGAATTGAAAGTAAGAATGGTTGGCAAGACTATAAAAGAAAAAAATATGACATTTTTGAGAGACTTAATAGAAGACCTTGTTGTAACTTATGAACGATGAGACATTATCAAAGACTTCAAATGTTCTGATGTATCAAGAGCTTTATCAATACCAAATCACAAAAATGGGTCAAATTATTATTAGACAAGGTTCATGATGTTGTCCATACATATTTTTTTTTGCATGGTCTGAGTTTTTGTTATAATATAAATATTTGAAACATATTTTTCATTCATGTTTCATATCGTTTGATCTATTCCAATGAAATTGTTAATATTATAATTATTTATTAACTAAAAACGTCTCTAGAGATAGTTCTGGAACACAACTTTTATGTATTAGATGCCAAATGTTCTTGTCTACAAAAATATTAACTATACACTTTAGGAAAAAAGAAACTTTCTCATTTCAATAAGATGTAACGAGTTAACATCTTTTCTGTTATAGAGAAAAAAAAGGACCAAGGAAATGACAATTTATTGTGTGAATGTTGTTGAAATTTGAATTATATAATGAAATCTCTTCACATTGATGTGTTTCTCAATGCGTATTGCAGCATTGGAGAAGATATAAATGAAAAATAAATGTCACTAAGTATTGTAACAATATAGAAAATTTTATTTCTCTCAGCTTTGTTTGTCGACTGTCTTATAGTATGGATAATTGACCAGAAATATATGTGAGACTAATTCTTTGAGAAATGGTTTTTTCTTTCAATACTATGGCAACAAATCCTTCGAAGATAATATGCGACTGGACAGAATAATTTTTCATGATATATTCAAGATGATTGATAGACATTAAAATAGAATACTTATTTCTATGGAATCATAGGAGGAACACATTGGAATTTGAATAGAAGTAGGGTAAAGGATTCTCTTTATTGATGTTAAATGCTCAAAAAGGAAAAGCAAGACTTCAGTTCTCCGAAGTCTCACTTTTCCCATTTGATGAGTACTTACCTAGATAAAACAATAAAAGTCTGGAAAAAATACGAAATCTCAATAAAAAAACAGTTGAGGAATTGTTCATCATTGTAGTTTATGTACACAAGAAACTTTGGTTCCAAAAAATTATCATTGTTAAAGCAAAAAGTTCTATATTGAATCAGTTCTGTTTTGTTCTGCATCTATCTAGATGCGATCGTAAGAGTTTTTCTTGTCATGATACGCTTCTGTTGTTCTCGTTCTCTGTCTGATTGGATTTTTGTGTTGGATTTTCCCTTTTATAGCCGCTGTCTATGAGACTTCCATACATGAATATTCATCGTGATTGATAATCTGTCGCTGTCCCAATGTTTTGAAAGACACTATTTGAAAATTTCTTTCATCAATGTACTAAATTTGCACAATTAGATTGAATCCATCAGACTGGTCATTATCTTGACTGTTGAACTCGTAGACACTCAAACTTAGTGCGAACTTATGCAATTTTACAATCTTCCTAAAAGATAAGCTGTCTCAATAGTATCTTCGCAACATCCCTCATTGCCGCTGCTATCATCCTGATGGCGCTGGGTTTGCTATGGATATCTCTCCTTCCATGCTATGGGTTTTCCATTTTTATTTTCATACTGTACCGAGTTGTTCAGTCGTTTTAAAGACTGATATATGAACTGATAGACAGAAATGAATTACCAGTCGGATAAAGCTCTTACGTTTTCAAAGTCAAATTTTGAAATTATTTTTTACTGTCTCAAAAGCAGAGTACATGTATAACCGCTGTGGTCTGATTCATTCGTAATGTCATTATGTATAAAATATTCTCTTATTGAGATAGATTAAGACTAATATCTTTATAAAGTGATAGTCATTTTTGAAAATTTTCTAACTGGGCTTGGTTCGGTTTCCCGAAAGACACGAACTGATACCGTCTCTGGTAGTTATCAAATAGCTTGATTCATACAAATTAGTTTGTCACTTGTATTAGATTGATTTTGGGAATGAATATGAATTAAAATGTTTTCAAATTCATTGTTTATCGAAGAATAATTGAAACGTAAATTGGATGGTGATATTGGATGAATATATATTTTTTTTGTCTTTCTGTTTTATATTAATTTATTTGTATTTCTTATGATATATTTTATAACAAAAATAAATTGTACAATTATTTCAAAATCTATCACCAACAACAAAGAGTCCGTTGAATCAAAGTCGAAGCAAGTAAAGAGCGGCTTCTATGCTTTTAATCTTTAGTTAGTTTGTTAATATCTTATGATTTCGGAAATGTTTATATGCAGTGCTAGCCTAAATTATAGAGCCAATGTTGTATATTTTTAACATGTTTCCAGAATGGAACATCTTTCTGGCTTGAAAATGACATTGATGTACAGAGAAACTGATTTATACTTGATTTTCTTATCGAACTGACGTACTCAAGGAAAAATAGCTAGAAAATACCATTCAAGTTTCGTACCCCAATAGCATTATTGGTATCGAAGTAGAGTACTTTTTGAAGAATGAATTGTAATAGAAAACACATTTTACTTGAAAATAAAATGCCACAGAGCTCCGCATTTCATTTCATTAGAAAGATAGTAATCATATGGCAACATATACTACCCAAGTTAGTTCTTAGCGTGTACAAAACACTTTCATCTTTTCGAAAACATTATGTGCAAGAGGTTTTGTCGAGTATGACATCATGCGAGACAGCATCTCACAAAGGTATAGACATTAGTATCCAAGTCTAAACTCTTTTTCAAGTCTCTCGTACATAACTCTCATGAAGAGATGAAAGTGCTTCGTACGCACTATAAACTGACTTGCATAGTATATTTTGTGATATGAACGCTATCTTTCTAACAAATTGAGGCACGAAGCTCGTTAATATCGGATTTTTAAGCAAAACATGTTTTTTATTCTAATTCGCTATTCAAAAAGCAGCCTGTTTCGTATTCAGAATACTACTTTTCATTCATTTTTGTTTGATTATGTAAGTCCGATTATAAAATAAATCATAAATCAGTTTTAAAAGTAAGTTTCATGAAAATGTTTAAAATCAGGTTCTGTACACATCAATATCATTTTCGAGCCAGACTGATGTCACATTCAGAAAAACGTGAGAAAAACATAGTATTGGTTCTATAAATTTGGCCAGGTAAAAACTGACAGATCTTGGCAATCATCTGTTTCCTACAGCCTAATAGCTCTATCAAATAAATTCGAGTTACATTCATACAGTGTTCAGCTTAATGCATGTCTTCACATGGTGTTTTCTTTGTATAAGAGAATTAAAATGGCCAAAAATTATCAAACAACTCTATTCGAACAGAAAGTTATATGGTTTCGACCAGCACTGTATAATGAGAGAATGATTATTGACTATTTTGCAGATAGAAAAGTGATTCACACGTAGAAATAAATGAAATCATTCGAAAAGAAGATCACTCTTGTGTCAAAAAAAATGGAATACATGATTAAAAAAACTAAGCTTGATTAACTATAGTTGACAAAATCGAGTATTGAAAAGGTATTTATTGAATTAATTTGTCTATATATTGAAATGGACCAGATATAAGGTAGTTCTTTTTAATTATATGCATATTTCTATATTCCAACGTAGTCGTCGTTTGCACAGTCGAAAAAATACATAATTAAATCATATCGTTCCTTTATTTTCAGGTGAAAATAGATGCAAGAGAACATAACCCCGACATTGGATAAAAAAAAAGAAAAAAAAGATCAGTCGACACGGACGTCTTTTTCTATCGTACGTTTCTTTCAATTTTTCTAATTCTGCAGAGTTACCGTTGACTATGAGGTATATTTTATGTGCCATTGGTTAACTGACGCATATTTACTTCCTTTTTTCTTACCAACTAAGGTTTTATTTATCGAATGTAATACCTATCTATACATGGTCTATTCTGTGTATAAACATTACAGATATACATGTGAAGTATAGTTTTGAAGGCAAGACTAGAATTAAAATTCATCAAACATAATCTATGTCTACAGATATATCTGTTGATAACAATTCAAGGACTCAATCAGAAAATAATGCTAGTAGACAAGTACTATCTTGTACCAAAGTTTTCTTCAAACGACTGATTGCACGTACACCAATGGAAATATTACAAGCTGAAATTGATACACGAAATGAATTGAGACGTGATCTTAATTGGATTCAATTACTTGCTATAGGACTTGGTGCTACTATTGGTGAGTGAGATTGATAATGTTACCTGCGATAAGACTTTTGAATCTTCTTTTCAGGTGCTGGTATATTTGTATTAAGTGGACAGGCTGCTGCAAAGTATTCTGGTCCATCAGTGATCATTGCATTTGTGATATCAGGTCTTATTGCTTTATTGGCATCTTTATCATATTCAGAATTAGGAATAATGATGCCTAGTTCTGGATCAGTTTACACGTATACTTATGCAGGTGAGTTACAGATTATATGCCTATCTTGCTTTCATGGACACTTTTTTTTGTTGTTTTAGCCTTGGGAGGTATGTAATCAAAAGTATCGTTAAAAAGGATTCGTTTTTTTTTGTCTTATTCATTATAGAATATTTGGCATGGTTTATTGGATGGAATTCTGCGCAACTTTATTTATTTGCCGTTTTGACAGTGACAGTTGCTTGGAGCAAGCATGTTGTCCTATTTGTTGATATTGTGTCCAATTACAATGTAACAAGCATGATTGCCCAAGCACCAGTGGCTTGGGACGAAGAGAAAGAACGCTTTGTTGTCAC